TGACGAAACATACGTTTAGACCAAAATAACGCAGTCTGAGTTGTGACATGAAGCAATGCAAGCCTGATGTTTTGCGTTGCTGAATGTCAGAACTCAGACTGCGTTTTTTGGTCTAAACATATGTTTCAGCATTGTCATTCGCTGAGCTGCCTCCGTAAGTTACGGTGATTGGCTCTCCGAGAGTTGTGCGTGAAAGTAGACGCACGGGCTTTTTTTAGAGTGTACGTTCAATATGAGAATCCACTGCAGCAATCTGGGCTCCCGGTCACTCAACACTTGTATCTAAAACATTGAGGCCGTCCAAAATCGCGGCTCACGATTTATCTTTTGTAATTATCACCGTAACACAGGTGTCTCGCCTATGAAAACTAACTTGTCTGTGCCTCTTCTGTCTTTGCGTCGCTAAGTCTCTCGCCTGTGTTTTTTTTTTTCACAAAATCTATTACACTAACCCTACTCTAAAAAAAGAGTTTGTTCTTCCTTCACCCCATAACTCAGCACGCCTTAATTGACCATCAATGCAAAGTAGGATTTCATCAGTGTCGTATACCAACGCCTACCTTGATTCCTTCATCCCACAACGCCTTCCGAGTGGAACCACCTTCCCGCATCTCTATTAGTGTCCATATCATCACCTAATATTTTTTTTTCAAAACTGCGATAACCAATCATCTTTGTTGATACTCACCTTGACTGTTTATGTTTTACATCGTTTGTATTCGATTTTGTTTTCACTGAATTTTGGACTGTTTCTTGCCGCTCCCCTTTGTAATGCCCTAGTGGCTCCGAGAGAACTAAAATAAAGAAATAAATAAAAGTGTGCACGCGTTCCTTTCTCGCGGGGCGAGGATGGAAGCGGCCTGATTGGCGGAGACACTTGTAGGCAATCGACGCGTTCGTCACTTTCTCCCAGCTCGTACCGCAAACACGGCGCACAGACCACGTGACCCCCCAGTTTATCGAGCAGTTGGAAGCACTCCGAAATCTAGGCGCATTATTCCGCAGCCGCGGATCAGGAACAGCACTGAGCGTGGCGGACGGAGGCAATTGTATGGCAGTGACGTCACACTCGGTATGCGTCCTTCGCCGGTTTTATTTTTGTTCTGTTTTGGGCGTTTTGGTTATTTGCGCGGGACGCTTTATTTGATGGATAGCTACAAAACAAACGAAGGAAATGCTGGGCGTGACTATTTGCCCCCTTTCCACTTTCGCTATGGAAGCAGTTCTGCCGCTAATGGTATGTTTCGTGAGTTTTCAAACCGGTGTAGTTAAGCGCAATGAATCGCGGCACGAAGGTATATGGAGAACGTATACGAAACAGACTTGGATTATGTTTGAGGAAAGAGCTTCAGCGTATGTTTACTCTCGGAAAAAGAAATGTAATATTCAGGATCTAGTATTTCTTCTTTTAACTGCCTTACAATGCCATGGACAATTTGAACAACCTTGCATATTTTTCTTGCGGCATCATTTCGGAAAAATGGTATTTCTTTTAGTTCTAAAAACCGTGTCAATAACCCGAGTAAACTTTGCTAGCAAAGGAGGAACTTGGTCTGATTTATTCACCATTACATTGGCACCCTATACAGTTTTTATAAGTTAGGTTCTCTAATATATAGATTTATATGGAACTTCTTTACTACATCTAATTTGGTTTTAATTTAAAGTGTTAAAAGATACTTTGCGTTTTCTTTGCAACACATACAGTCAGAGTGAATCTTTGACAGAAGACTATGCCATGGATGTATGAAGGGGCGAATACGGTTTAACCGATCAGGCGGCGTATTGTGCCATCTCCCCAATAATTTTACGAACGTACAAAACGAAACCAGCATATTCTATCTGCGTATGTACAAAAAGAAGCATATGCTTAATGATATCGCAGAAATCAGCTCGCGGCTGTGACCCAAGACCGCTCGCTTTATACATCATTTGTCAGGCTCAACATGCATGCGTATAGATCTCCATCAAAAGGCGTATCTCGGTATTTGCATAACGGGAGGTATGACGTACTTAAACACTACATCGGAACAGTGATATGATAAAGCCAACATACAAATCGGTCAGAGAAACGCGATGTTTCTTTCAACATGCTCGGCTTCAACAACCTATGATAGGCATCTGGGTCGGTTACATATGACCCTCCCGTCGTGGTAGGCTCGAACTTTATTGCGTGCATTGGAAAATCAACAAACTGTTCACTTTGAAGGTAGACATAAAGTCGCGCTTGAGCCTACGCTCCAAGGAAACCGGGGCGCCTACTTTCCCTCAAAACGCTTGGGTGAACCAATCGCTGCAATCATTGAAGGAAGCTTGAAGAATGACCAAGCTGAAAATCCGCATGGGGAACGCAAGTTCGTCTGCTTGTTTTTGCAGGGGTTGCGGTGACGTCAGAACGACACCGACCTCTGATTGGCTCAGCTCGAAGGATAGTGGGTAGACCTCGAGGAATCTAGCATCGAGGTCTAAACACTATCTTTTCAATCAGAGCCAATCAGAGCTCGGCATCGTTCTGACGTCACCACAACCCTTACGCAAGAAGCAGACGAATTTGCGCTCCGAATAGACATAAGAGAACAGCCTGCGCTGTGCCGCCATAGAGTTAATGTAGTAATCTAGCGGTTAATGTAGTAGTAATCCCCCCCAACAACAACAACAACCAGAAGCATCCTCCAATTCCCTCCTGGCCGAACACACACAGAACTAATGACGCAAGAAATAGGCTTGGTCGCGAATCGGGTTTAGTCAGGCGCATTAACTTTGAGACGGCGCGTTTGGGAGTTAGTTTCCCATTTCACGATCATTTGAACGAGAACACCAACTGAGAAGACGATGAAAACTGCTGCTGCTCCACGAGATTTAGTCACCGGGGATGAAGAAACCGAGCAGGTTTGGAAACGTCGAGCTGAATCTTTTTTTTTTTTTTTTTGCGGTTTTGGTTGGAGTTGTTTTTTTAATTCTTTTAATTTCACGTTCATTGTCTTATTCGTCAACAGTCCTTGTCCATCCAGATGATGCATTGATATGTAATAACTACTATCGTGGTACTTAGCATAAGTTTTCTTTATGAATCACGGGATCATCGTCATTTTCATGAGTTTTTTTGTTTCGGACGAAGAGACTAACTATGGCGATGTCCAATGCGACGCATAAGTACAATGGAGACAGAACGCAAGAGTTTTGCAGCCTTCTTAACTTCAGGAAAGGACCGCAGTTGTGCGATACTTGGCGTTAGTTGCTGATATTTTACATCACTTTAATAAACGAAACGTACGACTCCAGAGGAAAAGAAAGCTCTCGATGGGGATGCTTTTAGACATGAAATCTTTCGAGCTGAAGCTCGTGCTCTTTCAGCACCAGGAATTTCCCTCAAGAAGGAATTTCTATAAATTTTGTAAAATATATCCGAAAGATACGAGCCCCCTGTTCCACAAAAAGGAATGCTTTTTTAGATATTTCGCAATTTGAACAGGAAGTTCGAAGTCCGGTAAATTGAATGATATCCACATTTTCGTGCGATATTCACATTTTCACTAATTATTTAAGAAAAATGTCGCTCATCACTAAACAAACAATAAGTTTAATAAGTCAAAGTATCTACTTGCAGTTAACGATTTCTCTAAGTTTTACGGTGACTTATCATCATCCAAGTTTTTTAATCAACGAAAGTTCGCAGCAGCCTCGATTGCTGTTTTCGTTACAGCACTTACATCCTCGAACATACTTTTCTAAGTTAGATATTTTGAATTTAGTCATGCATTCGTGAATGACCGATGACCATATCCTACAAGAATTAGGACTCTCACTCAGTAAGGTACTATTAACTACTAAATTTCTTATTGAGCTCGAGCAACCCCATTACTTCTGTCGAGATTTAAAAACAAATGAATATTTTTGCACATAACTTTGGTGACCGTTATTTCAGCTTTTATTTTCATAGGCTAATCGATCTCCCCTCCCCCCTTTTATCGGTTTTCTCTCCGGACAGCTCCATCAGAACTTCGCGGCGATTCAGCCCACTGCAGCGTAAAGTTACCAACCCCTGATCAAGAGGGAAAGATCCCATGCATTTGGTCCGCTCCAAAACGATGGGGCACAGACGCGGACATGGATGGTCCCCGCTGGTGGTTCCAATGAGGTCCTATCACTGCGAACCATTAATATGCAAAAAAAAGCATCAAAACATCGCCTGTAACGTCTTTTACTATAGTTTTTTTTCTAGCTTACTTTTCAGAAAAACGTCGGAATCGCGCATCGAATAAAAAATAACGAAAGTTGACAAGCTCTTGAGCAACTTCCACTCGTCGCGGCAAGACAGGCTCGCCTAACCTTTCGTCTGCTTTTGTTTGTGATTTTTTGTTGTTTTATCTTTCGTTTTTTTCTCTCGCGACCTCCGATGTAAGCACTTAGGATTAGCCGTTTTTTGCTCCAATCTTTACCCCCCCCCCCCCCCCTCCCCGCACAATAGTCTCCTCTATACTCACAAAGCCTGGCAGAGTGCCCGGTCACAGATTTGGAACGCGAGGATCTGGTACCACAGAGTATCGAACAGCCATGTCTCGGAGAACCTGGATGTCAGCGCGCAGCTTTTTGCAGCGGCGAGGACCCGAAACGCACGTGTTCGCCCGGAAGAAGCGTGTTTTGGCGTCTCGCCGCAGCGGGGCACCAGTCACGTGGCTCTCCTCTCATCCGTTGTCTGCCGCTCCACCTTTTTCCATTTCGGCGGCCGCTTCTCGTGGCGATCTGCCAGGCTTTGTCAGTATAGAGGAGGCTATGCCCCCACGTAAGAACGCCGAAAACCGAATCACGAAGCAAGAACGTGAATAGGCCGCGCCCCGCGTTTTTGAAGCTATCAGTGACTATAATAGTCAGTGTCTGCATTCTCCAAGATCCCTCCGTAGATTGCAGCGATTGGCACTCTCAAGTGCTCTACGGGAAAGTCTAGACTTCCCGTGTAGCACTCCTCGAACAAGGAATCTTTCTTCTTCGGGCTTGTCGTTTCAGGCCAGCCACGTCGTCCAAACGCCGCCGTGTTTTTCGGGGAACGAGCGTGGGTCCTCTTCTTTGTTCCGGGGTGGTATCATGGCGGCTGCGTAGCTCTGGAGTTTCCGCATCATCATCCGCACCGTCTGCGAGCCACAACATTTCCACGGGGTGAAAACGAAGCCTATAGTGGGAACAAAGACCCAACATTTTTCGTAACCTCTGCTAGAAATACGGTGAAACTACACCTAGCATCCACTGTACAGCAAGCGCATGGTGCTTTGCTTCGAGAACAATGGGTTTCTTAGCCGCCGCAAGGAAAAAGAGGAAGAGTGAACGCGGACGAAGTAGTTCGGATATTTGCGCCATGCCACGGGTGGAAGGAACAGGTGTCTGAACAAGGCCAGAAAGAGAGTCAAAAATAGCGGTGACACGATCTTTTGTCGAAGCAGATTTTTAGGTCGAACTTTCGGGGTTCGACTGGTTCGCATCGGTCGACGAACCTTCGATCTTTTAACCAGATTCGACCGGTTCGACTTTGTGGACAGTGTGGCCAGACCTTGATTACAAGCATGTCTAGGTTTGAAAAAAAAATTTTGTATGCGAAGGGTTGTTTTTATTTTATGAACAGTTGCAATTAAAATAAACTAATTCTAATCACTGAAAAAGTTAATAACTTAATTTTTTTGTGCTGTTAATAACTACAAATCAGAGGCAGGCTAACATGCTTAATCCTTCAGAACACGCTGGCATCGTGCGGTTGTTCTTGTTTTCGTTGCTTTTTACGCACCAAAGCTAAAAAAAGAAGTATTGCAAAAAAAAAAAAAAAAAGTTGCGCAAGGATAGGTGCTGATCACGTTGATCGTGCGCGATGGTGCCAACAGGGGGTCTCGGTCTTCGCGCATCTCCCGGCAAGGGCACTGTCGGGTTGGGACTTCGCGCGCCTCGCGGTCTTGAAAACGCACGCGCGCGAATAAAGACGATTTCTCGAGCTCCTGCCACGCTGCGCCATCTTACGGCGCTTGTCTGAAACGGGAGCGAATCTTCGATACGCTTGCTTCGTGGCGACGTTCAGACACTTCTCTTCTTCCATCATAACCACAGCAGAACCGCCATTCTCCAAATATCGTCGCATCCGGGGTGAATAATATTGGGGGAAAGCTTTGTGTAAGAATGCAGTCCAAGCTACGGGAGCGCGTTCTTCAAATCCTATTAAAGCTGGGCACGCACACTTCTCTTTTCGGAAATACCGCAGAAAGTTATAAGCCGAAGGACAATGGCGAATACCTAATGTCGCATTGACATCCTTCACACATCGCACAAAATACATGGCGTTCGCCGCAGAACTTATGAAAGAACTAACTGCGAACCTGCTCCAATCACGTTCGAAGCATGCTAGCTTCCTACTAGTGTATACTTCGAACACGTCTGCAGATAGTTGTTTGTATGACCAATATGACGTCATACAAGAAAGAAACTCAGGCACTGACTGCAGACTATCTTTTGTGTGATGTATTAGCATTGTGACCACGGCCTTAAAGGCCCCGTATTACTCCAAAGTTGAGCGTAACAAACGCGGCGTAGTCCAGCGTACCCGGATGCTGATTGGTCGAGGAAGTCGAGTTCCTGCTCACTGGCCAATGAAAGGCGCGCGTTCTGCGCTACGCTGCCCTCGCTGCGATCAACGTTGGAGTATAGCAGAGCCTCAAGGGTGTTTCTGTCGAGTGCAGTAAACATAGGTTTGAGAGTTGGGCAGCGGAGGGGAAGGCTGTAGATTGTGTTTTACGTTTGGTGAAACGTTCGGTTGCGTAATCTTTTTTTTTGAGTCACGAGACGGTGTCTTGTTCTATGAGATGCCGGCTGAGGGCACTCTTTTGTAAGTACGGCGTTAGAAACCCGAGTAGCTTATCCTCATGCTAGGTATGATACTGTTTTTTGAGGTGAGCTTGTTGGCATCGGATAAATGCTTACGAAAGAAAAGGACAGATCACGGACAGCTTTTGTCCCTCTGTGTGTAATTCGTTCGTAAGATATATATATATATATATTTTTTTTTTTGAACGAGATACGATCTTTAAGGGTGTCAGGATCTGTGCAAAAAAGCAAATGTATGACGAACAAATCTTTATCTCTTATAAAGAACACGTGCCTGTGTATCCCTTTCTCCTTTAAGTGCATCCAGTCTTGCTTTTTCTTTTTGATGTTTTCAGTTATAACAGCTCGCACGTAAACTTACCGTTCCCTGTGCACAAACGCTTGGCATTGATGCCACTACCCTTCGGAAGTAATCACACTCGTTAGCTGCACACTAAAAAAGCTGGAACCAATCGTTGCACTATTCGAGGGAGTCTCTGGGAATGACGGGGCTTATAATATGTTCAGACCTGCAAAATCAGTACGCGCTGTGACATTGATCGTGACTTAAGCATGCGCAACGGCACGCTTAATGTCGCAAACAAACTGTGTGTGTGTTTTTTTAAGTCGGAACATTTTTTTAGCTTTATGCTTCGACGACCTCCATCCCTAAACCACAGCGAGTGGCTCTGCCAAGTGCTTTGCGCGATTTTAAGTGCACCGGTGCTCTCAGAGTATTTTAGAAACATCCCATAATATCAGATAACCTTAAGAAAAGAAGAGGAGGATAGACTCACCCCTCTCCGTGTTGCTGCGAGGTTGATCATCTCGCAGGGGTCGCGCTCTATGTCGAAGAGATTATACACACGTCCCGAAACAAAGTTGCTCTGCCACTCCGCCGGACCGCAGTCCACTTCGGCAGAGTTTTCCCATCCACGCCTGAACCAGATTCCGTCCACGTTGTAGAACCTTCTGAGTACCTTCGCAGCCAGCGACTGCTGCATCATCGTGTCCATGTCTTCAGTGGGCCTGGGGTACCCCGTGGTCGGCACGTGTGCATCTGTGGTTCCGTTCACTCCGGGTATTAGGAGTTTGTGCTTGCCGAACCGCAGCCCCGCTGAACCGGTGATCGGGTCGATGTTCAGCAAAATCTCTGTCCTGGGCGATCTCCAGCCCCTGGAGAGGGCCTCCCACATGTTGTGGCCGTCCAGCTGTCCCAGGTTCTTTGTGTTCCCGCCTGGGAGCAGGCACGTGCAAGTAATCATATGCAATGATTAATAAATGACTATGCGTCTACTTTCTCGCAGAGTATACTAGTATGGTGCCTGGAGCGGGTCCCCGACTGGGATGTTTACTGCATCCAACAAATGGTCCCTTGATATCCACCTGATGACGGCATATACTCTCAAGAGGGTGTGTCGTTAGACCCTTTGTCCCATATAATACACCCCCAAACTTCAATTCGACGTACAGTGCCCTAGAGTCGAACGGACGGCCCGACATTTTACGAGGGGCTTGATAGCCGTGTGGTACAACTTTAGCTAAAGTACATTTTACTGGGTACAAAAAGAATAATCGGGGTTTTCTTGGCCGTACTGTAAAAACTCGGTGTTTTCCTTCTGTGGTCTTTGATAAAGGACTTTAGCTATTTAAAAAGTTATATTGCACTTTTATCAAGCCCCTCGTAAAGTTTGGGGTCGTCTGTTCGACTATAGGACTCTGTACGTCGAAATGAAGTTTTGGGGTGTATTATATGAAACAAAGGGTGTAACGATACACCCTTTTTTTCTTGAGAGTGTAGAAAAGTGACGTGGTAAAGTGCCTTGATACTTATTTCTTACAAGTAACAACAACCAATACAAATAACAAAGCACATTCCGTTGGTACAAAATGGCGTCATTCAGTTCAGTCCTCTGCTGTGCGCCGCCATTCACTTCCTAAAACCTGCACCGTCACGCAACCGGCGGTTCAAAAAATGTGGCTACTTGTACGAAGCTCTAATCTATAGGAACCTTATCACGTTGGCGCCGGTCGCGATCCTGGCGACGTCCCAGCAGCGGTGTTGGATGTGGCAGACGCCTGTTCTGCTGCAGGTGTCTCTCCCGCTTGACAGACCACGGAAGCTTCGGCATCCAGGAGTTGGGACGCCGTGATCATAGAGTTATTATAATCTACAGTAGAGGTTCAGCTGGTGCTAGTGTGCTGTTGCAAATCGAGGCAGACTGCAACCAGTCGAAAGTCGACTTCTGGTTTCGCATTTCTACGGGGGAAAGCGGGCGCGTTTTTTCTCTGCGTGGATTACAACAGAAAATGTTACAAATAGTTTTAACGCTGCAAAGCGTTTGGAACATTTCGAAATCGCGCAAATAAAAAATATTGGTCAGTTACGGGGGACTTACGTGCCGAACGAGCAAAGGACCTCTGGACAACCAAGAGATATGAGAAGAACTGCACAGTAGCACTGGATCAGTAACTCCTGGTGAATTAAAGACAATAAAGTGAAGACCAAGTTAATATGTTGGACTTTTGAATAAATAAGTGTCCCTTTATTATCACTGCTAGTGCAGAGACAATGTTGGTTCTGAGATCAAAACGTCACAGCACACTGAAATATATGCGAATAGAGAGAAGCCAGAAAACAGGTGCCTGATAAAAGCTGCCCGGCGTACGAAATAATAAAAGGAGATACCTGTCATAGCTCACACACTTTATTTTTTACGTTTTGCACGTTTTAACAGCTCGTAAATGCTAAGATTCAGACACCTTTGGTATGATTTGTCGGTCGTCTTTACACACCTTTCGTGGAACGCAGGTCTGAGGCTGAAATATAGCGCAGTTTAACATCGTTCACTGACGAAAAAACACGCTGTAATTAAAGCAAATGCACTTTTACAATGTTAATAAATGTGCATATTATTCGATACGACACAAATAACAAATGTGAACCATGTTATTTTGTTGGCGAAGACGCAAAATGCTGTTTTCCCGTGCGCAGGAGCACCGCAAAAGTAGAATGGTTGCTGTCTGCCTTAATTTCCATCCCGGAAGTCGCATAGACACTAGCGCCAGTTGAACCTCTAGTGTACATTATAATAGCTCTATGGCGTCGACGATAGCGAAACTCGCGTTCGCTCGCGCTTTTCGCCAGCACTTTTACCACGAGCCGCCAGGATCGCGACATCCGACAGCGTGACACTCCGGCTTCTGTGACGTAATTTGTCGCCACCTGGGGACCATAGAGATATTATAATGTCCGCTAAAGGTTCAACTGGCGCTAGTGTCTATGCGACTTCTCGGAGGCAAATTGAAACAGACAGCAACCAGTCTACTTTTGCGGTGCTCCTGTGCGTTCCAATGGGAAAACAAGCGTGCATTTTGTCTCTTCGCCGGAAAATAATATGGAACGCTTTGGTTATTTGGGTCGTACCGAGTAGTATGTACCTTTATTAACATTGTAAAAGTGTAATTGTTTTAGTTAGCGCATTTTTCTTCATCAATGAACAATGTTTAACTTCGCTATATTTCAAGCCCAAACCTCACTCCCACAATAGGAATGTAAAAACGAGCGACGGATTCTAAGCATAATAACGATCGAAAGGAATGCAATGTGTGTTCAAGGTTCGCTAGCATTCCGGTGGCGCTTATATATTGCTAATATGCACGTCCTGTCATTATATGAAAATGACTCCGTCGTGCGCATCTTTACGATCGGTTAAAAAACAAACAAAAAACATTCGAACGTAAAAAAATAAAGTACGTGGGCTACAAAAGCTGTTTCTTTTTATTATTTCTCATGTCGGGCAGTTTTTTTCGGGCACCTGTTCTCTGGCTTCTCCCTATTTGCAAAGATTTGAAGCGTGCAGGTGATGATTTGAACCCAGAACAAGTATCTTAGCACATATTTCTGAGCAGAAAGAATAAAGCAGTACTTATTTATTGGAAATCGAACTATATTACGTGGATTTCAATTTATTTTGATCGTCTGCATGCACATAGAGTTACTTATGCGTAGTTCTTGCCGTCTCTCTTAGTTTTCCAAATGTCCTTCGTTCGTTTGGCACGTATATCCCCCACGCTGAAATGCGCCGACGTCGTGTTCGCGCTAACAGTGTCCGACAGTGCACATAAATACATGTACGAAGTGGTTTTAGCGCCGTTTTTCATGCCACGAATTTAAAATAAAAACGCCGTAACTGACCAATTTTTTCGTCTGCGTGACTGAGAAAGCTTCCAATGTGCCTAGTACGTATGAATTATTCGTTATTTTTGCTCTTATAATCGAGCGCAGAGAGAAAATGCACTCACTTTTTCCCATAGAAATGCATTACCGGAAGTCAATTTCAGACTGGTTGCTGTCTGTCTGCTTCAATTTGCAGCAGCACACTAGCGCCGGTTGAACCTCTAGCGTACATTATAATAACTCTATGTTAGGGACCACTTGGGATGTATAAACGGGATAGGACGCTAAACAGACTCGTCGGAGACGACGCGTTCCAGACGCCGTAGTACCGGGGAAAGTCCAATGGACCTTTTCCACATACCGACGGCACCAGGCGGTGGCTGCACGAACTAAAAATCGAGGAAGTGACCTACCTGCGCTACCAATCGCTAATGGGAGCTACGCTACAAGTTTCTTCGCTCTCTGAGCAGCGGCGCCTGCCCAACGCGACTTTAAAGAGGGGCATCCGTGGAGTCCACCCAAACGTCGTGTTTTCCTTTTCGTCGACATTCTTTTTTTGTGTAACACAATTATATATATGCTGCAGTTACGTGTTGTACTCGCTGATATACAGCCTCCTTCCGGATTTCCTCGATTTTTCGTTCCGACTTCCGCCGCTTGGCATCGGGCGCTCGCGCGTGCGCAGAACGCTTCTCGGAAAAGGTCCATTCCTCGTATACACTCTATGCGGAACGCAAGTTCGTCTGCTTCTGTTGCAGGGGTTGTGGTGACGTCAGAACCACGCCGAGCTCTGATTGGCTCTGATCGGAAGGATAGTGGGTAGACTTCAAGGCACCTCGCTTTGAGGTCTACCCACTATCCTTCAATCCGAGCCAATCAGAGCTCTGCGTCCTTCTGACGTCACCGCAACTCCTACAAAAGAAGCAGACGAACTTGCGCTTCGTATAGTCTCTGACGGCTTAAAAAATGCCAGACGCGGTGATACCCGACCATCTTATTCACGTTCTCAGCCGACGAGATACGCCTAGTAGCCGGTACGAACACGGAAGAATAAATCAAAGAGCACTGACTCTACCCCCCATCATACATCTCGGCTAGAATTGACCATCCTTGTAAGATCGCCCGTCCACAATGCTTCACCCTCGCACACCAGAAGGCGCTCTTACCATCTGCGATTGTGGACTGGAATGACCTCCCCGAGAACCTCATCGGCATCACCGACAGTGGAAGATTTCGGGACGCCATCACCAACTACTTCATGTAAAGCCATTCCCCTCTGTAACGCCACTTGTGGCCCTGAGGGTATTATAAATAAATAAATAAATAAATAAAGCGTGAACATACGTTAGGCGTTTGTTAAGCTGTCAGAGGCCACAGGAAATCTCGGGCATCTACTTTCTCACGCAGCACTTGGGAGAGTTCATCGCTCGAACCTACACGGGGAGTTCGGCGAATGACGAAAATGTAACTACAATGTTTAAACCAAAAAAAGGCAAAAAAACAACAACAAAAAAACACGGGGTGACACTGAGCATGACGTAAGCGCTTGAAACGTCCCAGCGCAGGATGTTTTTGCTTTTTTAGGTGTAAACCTTATTTTAGCTTCATCGTTGGTCGAGCTTTCCGGGCAGACTATGGCTCTCCCTAGCGCTTTCTGGTAAAGTAGACAGTGCTGATATCTTAGAGATTAGACGGCACTGCTGCGTCAGTGTTCGCCCGGAACTACCGTTCGATTGGAGAAGAGAGGCGTCTATTGAACGCGAAGGTCTCCCCGGCGCTCTTTACGTAGGAAGTGTCTGCTTCTTTTGGATCCTCGCGTATATACTCCACGTCAGCGCCCTCGCGTGCTTAGTTTGTGTTCACCCAGTCATTTTTAGAGCCAGTTTCTCTCGAAGCCCGACCGCAGCCACGCTGCGATCATCCGATGATCAAGCAGCGACAAAGTGCCACCGTCAGGGAGTTCGGTGTCCTTTGTGCGTCTCCTGCTAAACCATTCACGCGCAGTAAACGTCCCGTAATCCTGCGCGTTTTTTTTCTCTCTGAGCGTAAGCAAACGCGCAGACGACGAGCACCCTGACAATATTTGGAGTTCCTTGATTGACTCTATCCAATCATAGCGTCGGTCGGCCTTGAAGTCCGACGACCAGTCCGTTCTTTCCACATTTCCCTCGCTTCCTCCTCTCCCCCTTCTACCCTGTCCACCGTTGCATGTTCCCTTCTCCCCCATGGTGAGGACGATCTTCTACCTTGCAGAATCTTAAGTCTGGTCGTCGGCCTTCAAAGTAAAGCGGACCATATATGGATCTATTTTTTCAGCCATCGCGGTTCCATCGAGCAGCTCGCTTGAGCCGGCGCCCGAACCACTGACCAGCGGCAGCGTAAAGTGTGGGCAGCCAGTCGGTGATGTGCATCATCTGCGTCGAGAGCCTGGCACTCTTCCGCAGCAGCGGGCTCCATACGAATCCGGGCACCCTGACTCCGCCTTCCCAGACGGAAGCCTTGATGCCTCGCAGGGGCCAGTTGAAGCCGCGGTTGGAGCGGAACCCGAACGGCACCGCCCCGTTGTCGCTGCTGAACGCCACGATGCTGTTCTCCAGCATCCCCGCCCGGCTCAGGGCCTCGACAACCCTGCCGACGGACACGTCCAACGCATCTACCATACCTGGAAGCATCGGGCAAAAACGTGTTTCGGTGAGTAAGTTCCGAACCGACGAAGGAGATCGGCCGATGACCGAAGGAAGGACCCAGGAACCTTACAGAGACTGATATGGGATTATGATGGGCTAGAGCGGTTGGGGATGGAACGACGGCATGCGCGAGAACGCTGTTCCGCTATTCATGCCTATAAAGAGCACCATAGTCGATACGTGGGAGCTAGTGCCTCCAAGGCTAGAAAAGAAGGAAAGGATAACAAAACTAGGAGAATTGAACATTTCATCTCACTTCCTAGAGGCATAGTTAAACCTCAAATGAAAACACGACCCCTTACATTTATTTGAAATTATATTTTCCCGCTCCGCTTTATTAGAAAAATTAATTTTCATGGAATGAACTCATATTGGCCGTTGGGGCGTATCTGCCATTTTATATATGGTACCATATGTAAAATAGACGAATAAGGTAATGAATTCGTAGGACCACTTTCGGCCGATGGGAGAAGCAAGCAATCACCTATCTATAACCTACGTGAACACAGTAGCGGCCTGTACTCACCTGCGTAGATGGTGCGGTCTTCTTCCCCGATGTAATCGAATTTGTCCACGTTTTCGTCGGGAGCTTGCAGCGGTTCATCATGGGTGGCTCCGTGTGGGGCCAGGTGACTGAGGTACAGAAATAGAGGCTACCACAAATAATGCTGACATTCCAAGTGGCCGTGCGCTACTCTCAAGGGCCAACGAACATTAAGCTACGAGAGAAGCAAAAATCATTATCTTTTTGCCCACCAAAAGTCGGAAGAGTTACATCCTCAGCACACTCTAGAAAAGAGCCAGTGTGTTTAGTTTCCTGCAGAACCCAGTACAAAGACTCAGGCTGTAGATTAGAAGGATCTAAGTGACGAAAATCCTAAATTAGATCTGAACAATGCGACGTGTTCCAGGACAATGAGCGAGTTTTTCATGAGAAACTCGCTTTTGATTTTGAGTTCAGTTAAACTCGGAGGATTGTACAGCTACACCTGTACAATCATCTGCCGACTGGCGCCACTGTGTCGTCGCGGTCAAGTTCAATCGCAGCGCCTTGCTGTTTGATGTTTGAGGCAGAGTTCAATTTATATTTAAAGGTTAAAAGGCGCGAACAAACAGGACTAAAAAAGACACACGACACGGACAGGCGCCGTGTGTCTTTTTTCGTCCTGTTTGTTCGCGCCTTTTAACCTTTTAATCGATATGAACCAACAAGCCCCAACCAAAGTTTTATTGCTTCTATTTCTACTTTGTTTTGCAAATATATCTTCCAAGGTTGCCCCTCGTCTGTGTGGGCAGGGGGTGCAATATGCTGCTTTCGTTTGTCGCGTGTGTTCGTGCTGCCGGTGACAGAGACATGCGTCCCTTTTTTGACACTGCCCTCTGCCTACTTTGACGTAACTTTAGACTATACGGCTGTCTGAATCAATAAAGAGATCACGGCCCCACCTGGCCATCGAGACAGATACGCATAACACCGCTTATAAGAGCATGTAGTTCATTGTAATCAAGCGCGGGTGTACACCTTTTTTTTATCGAGGCGGTTAACTTTATAGACAAGAAGGCACACTCCCACTCTTTCTTTTTCTTTTTTTTTTGTACTCTATGGACAGGGTTAAGCGTTAGCTTTTAAAGTGTCGGTGCAAGTCTAGACTGCTCGATTCCACGTCAAAATACCCAACGAGACAAAATGTCAAACGGGTCAAAATGTCCAATGTTGAACATTTCGTGTCGATGGATATTTCGTTTCGCTGGACATTTTGAACTGGTTGGACGTTCAGTCTAGTTGTACGTTTTACCCGATGGACATTTTGACCTGTTGAACATCATGTATCGTTGACCCAGATTCTCACACTGAATGGTGTTGAGACGGACGTCTTTAGAAAGTAAGTATACTTACACGGGCCCCGGGTTTTTGTTAAAACGGTAGTAATGTGACCACTTCGGGAAATCAGACTAACTTTAGTTTTGGAAAGAACAAAATATTTTCTATTCGAAAAAAAAAAAAATCTAATATACGTTGTGGACGCTGAAACTCTGCCAAAAATTCAACGCTAGCGGTTGGAAGAAAATTCTAAATTCCAAATTAGTACTCTGTTTAAAGCGTTGTGGGTGAATTTTTTTTAAATTTTTAATAAACCAATGGGGCCTGTTTCTGGTAACGTACGCTATTCATCTTCATGTAATCGCGGGTTCTGTTAACAACCATTTTGGCATTAAAAATTCCCGAACATTGCCTAAAATCAAATTGGCTACCCTATGTTCTGAAAACTTGGGTTCTTGATCCAGTCGCTTGAGCTATATTCTGGCGGTGTTGAGGCTCACCGTGATATGAAGCTTATTTTTACGGTGGCTAAACCGGGTTTCCTTCTTTAAGACCCCGCAAATTACGTGACAACTAAGGCAATATAATTAAAAGTGATGAACGACGGCAGCGAATGCAACAATACATTTTGCACTTAGGATAAGGTGACCGAAGCAAAGATGAATGGATAAGCTAGTTGGTTCATAAACAAAAGAAATTAAAAACGCAAAAAGACACGAACGCATTAAAAGAGGCTGTGTTTTACTCATTGCTCGTGAATTCGTCATCACCTTATTTTAGTCTTCCACCCCGAATCTTTCCCACGGACAGGGCGAGCCCATGCAGTGTGTATACGAAAAAAAAACCAGCATATTTCAGATTCGGCATCGCATGCTTTGTTCGCTGCCATCTTACCTTCCCTCACTCGATAAAGGAAACGAATGACAGCACCCTGGTCAGAATTAAAGTAACTGCTAGTGACATTAGTCAAAAGGCATGGGCAGGGGTCTAGGCCAACTCGTCGACGGCCAACTCGTCGGCGGCCCATTTCTCAAATAGGCTATTTTTGTCATAGGGCAACTCGTCGAAGGGGCCAACTGGTCACCGCTTTTTCGAAGCCAAAATATATAATTTTTCTCCTGCAATTTTAAAGCAGATACTGCCTATCAGGGTTCTCCCCAGAAATTCTTGATATCTGGACATCAGACAATTTCCAGGGTGTTGAAGGAGGAGAAGAAGCACCTGCTGCAACCTTTTGTGTTTTTGCCACTTTCTTTGCCACACAGCAGTAATTTTGTACGCAGGGATTATGCACTTCTGTTGAATAGTGCCACACGATTCTTCCAAACTGAATCTGGGGCATTGTGCATTTTAAAAAAATCAGCATCATTTTGTCCAGCAGGGGTAAAATATAGAGGTTGGTTGGACATAGTAGAGGTGGACAATTAGCCAGACTGGTGGGCGGCAAAACCACTACCGTCCACTGTGGGGAGAACCCTGCTGCCTATAGTAATATCGCAGCAGAGTTATTGGACTCTAATGTGTTCTTTCTTGTCGAAGATAACTTGCCGCTTTCGCCACTTTCGCAGTGCAGTGGACGCCGGTCACTACGTCCCCCGTTAACCTACAAGGTGCATACTTCCTCGCCGCTTCGCGGCGACAGTGTGCGGCTGCTCATTTTGCAAAAATGTTAACGCACCTGGCTCGCCTGTTCACGCTCTTCGCGGCGACAGTCTGCAGTGGCTCATTACAAAAAAAAATAATGAAGAAAAGGAACAAAAGGACGATCCCGAGATGACACATTTCTCAACTTGCCTCAAGGTTCTGTCATGTCTCCGCTCTCTTTTAATTTTTCTTTGTCTTGTAATCTAACAAGGGCGCTGTCTCTAGTCAAGCACAAATAGAAATTTAGGTCAAAAGGTAACAAGAAACCAGAAAATTTTACCTCGGACCGTCATTCAACGCATTCGACGAACCGACCTTCGACAGATTGTCTCTTTTTAAAAGTTGTCCTTCGACGAATTGCACTATTACGAATCAGCCTATTCGACGAATTGGCCGTCGACGAGTTGGCAGGATTCCACGGGACAAGGGTCGGCGCATTCTGTGCCTCCCGCAGTTGTTCGCGCGTTTCCATTCATACCTGAGTCGATCAAACTTGATATAAGCGTTGCAAGGGTTGCAAGAGATTTTATAATAAGTATTCTTAGCGTAGGCAGCACACCACACTGCGTGTATACACCATGGAACAGATTCAAAATTCACGTGGTTCAATACAAGTCTGTTTACTCCAGGCATGAAAATTTAATGTCGACTTTTCAAGCGCCGTTAGTCAGCTTAATGTGAGACTGGGGGGTCACTAATGCTGGCAACTCTGTAGATGTAATTACGGACATCAACAAACGTGGCAGTCCGTGCAGAAACCAGGTCGAATCTTGTCGGACCTAGAAGCGCCTTTTGTGTTAAACGGGGTCACCGGCCAATCCGACCCACTGTCCCCGACATGGGGACGAAATCCTTTGAACGAAACTGTGCCTCCACCGACCTAGGCCGACGAAAGAGAAAACGAAAAAATTGAGCGCTTTTTGTGTTAAACACGGTGCCTTAGGGCACTACAGAGGGAGTGGGCATTCATTTATCCTAGACCGAGCACGCTGACGTTGCCATTTTGACGCGGATGGACATTTCGTCTCGTTGGACATTCCGTCTCGTTGGACATTTTGACCTGATTGGTCATTTTGTCTCGATAAACATTTTGGCTCGGTTGACACTTTGACCCGATTGGACACTTTGCCTCGATGTGCGTTTTGGCATGGGTGGCATGGTCTTGGCACGTTTTGACTAAATGGACATTTTGTCTCCTTGGACATTTGGACCAGAAAGCCTCATGCTCTTGCCCCTCTACGAAATTCGCCTCCTCCCGCATTCTGTCGCCCAAAGGCTTCAGGCTGTGACTACGTCACTGAAGCTTCAGTTGCGAACTGCCACTGCGAAGTGTGCAGACGGCTGGAATATTTCCACACGGAAGTGGGATATATCTAGTGTCTATATATCTGTACGATTTCAAGAAGCGTGCATATTGGAAGACATTAACAGCATTGGCCGTGATATGACAGCGGAAAGGGGCGCTGGATGTATGGTTGCGGAATTTTAAGAAAGTTGCTGTTGAGAATGAAAAGCCACTGGAAATCTCAAGAGACGTCAGGATTGCAGCAGTAGAGAGTCTTCAACGAGGAATTAAACAGAAAGCCGTGAAATCTGGAACGCAGTTATTTAAATGCATATATCTTGTGCGTGTGTATCTGTGTGTGTGGCCGAGGGGGGGGGGGGGGGTTGTCACGTTCAAAATTGCTTTTAATGTGTTTGCACCGGTCCACATAACCTTGTTCATTTTATGGGTGAAGGTTAAAAAGTGTTCACAGTATCGCGCTTTATTTATTTATTTTTTACGAAAAGTTTTAAAGTTTTGCCAAAATCAGATTCCATGTTGAGAGCTCGTGTTTCGTCCTTGGCTTATTGTTGTGGACTTTATTTTACTTCATCTCGCGTAAATAGAAAATTTTACCTCTTGCGGTTTCTTGGGTAAAAGTACTTATGATTCACAACTATCACTTTTGCCACTAATGTAAATCTCGCATTAGAGCATTTCATCTTCAGTTGAGCCTTTGATTCGCTGTTATACAATAATAACTACAGCTTCTTCAATACTCTTGCGATTTGCCATAAGAACAGTGGAACGGTCATCAACCTTTTTGGCGCATTTGAGTCCCGAAGTTTTATTTTGTTTTTATAGAGTGCTTTGGACTTTCGTAACAACTTAACATCTGCTGATAAAAAAAAAGTAACCATGCTTAGCATGGCAGCTCGTTTGCATTCAGTACCACACGTCATCATTCAATAATTAAGAACCGGTAGATTTTGTATCTGCGGCAAATAAATTATCAAATATTAAAAAGTTTCGAAGATCTCTGTCGTGTTTATCCTCCTTGTCCACACCCTCCAGCGTTAAAATGTCTATATTCAACCAGCTCGCCTGCACCCTTGATTTAAAAAGAGTAAAGAAACTGGACAGAACTGCGAGTACCGCTGAAGCTTTCGTGCGTTAAAATTCGTAGCATAATCTTCGTTCTAATTGAAGACGAGCGTGTTTGTGAATAGATACAAATGTGTCCGTCCCCGTCCTCGATGTTTCATCCTTTCAAGTATTCGTATCTTCGTTCTTTTTTCTTGTGATTTCTTTGACGTCTGGTACATTCTGTCGACTGGAATCAGAATACCCGGGTACATCTTTTTCATTTATCATTTTAAACCATGTGCTAAAAAAATTCGTTTCGTAAAAAAAAAATATATATATATACTGCTTTTTTTTAATGAAGGGGGAGGCGGCTTCAGTTCGCCCCCCCCCCTTTCCCACCATGAAAAAAAAATTCTGCGTAGGCCGCTGAAGGGAGCCAAGACATTTCAATAGGAAACTTTGAGGTGTTTGTTTTATTTGATTGATGAAGCCCCCGTTATGCAACAATGTTTTTTTTTTTTTTTTTTCTGCCTACCATTGCTGCCGAAAATCCATTACGACAAAAAAAAAGGCAACGGCTTTCTTTTGTTTTACTGACAGAGTGTGACCGCAGCGCTGACTGTAGGTGGAGTGAACTGTCTTTTTTGTGGCTAAAACTGTTTTGTGTCTGTTCTATGCTGTGCTTTTTTTTAACAAAAAATAACCTTTTATTTAAATTGAAAGTTAAACCAAAGCTGCCAAGCTGTACATCACACCCATACTTTATGCAGCCTACTTTTAACACGAATAGCATCCTTCAAAGTACTTCCATCGTAACCGAACATACCAAACAATAAAAATTTAAAAAAAAAATGTTTTAGAACAACAACAATTAAGACTTCTCGTTTTGTCCGCTCTTTATCGTTCCGTGTCTCCGGTTGCGATTGAAGTTGTTCACCAGCTCGCCTTTGTTTATAAACTTTCATTCAATGCATCTTCACATTTTATGGGTGAAAAGATGGAAATTATAACTAAACGTGCGCTTATATACACAATGCTGAATGGGATATATAGCTCTTAATATATCTCAATGAGCAATTGTATTCATAGAAATAATATTTCCACATTTTGAACACGAATTGTTTTAGGTAAAGTAGGATGTGTTTCAACCTATGTTAGGTAATGAGGCATCAGCTGATAATTACCTTTGTTTGATTGTGTTGTTCAATGATGGAAATGGCTCGGTCGGTGAACAGCGTTGTCGCATACTGCCCGGTGTCGTTGTGGAATGGCTCTTCGCCGTTCCGGAAATCCAGACCGGCGTGGGATTTCTGCATATGAAGCATGTGACAATATATTTTTAAAGGCATTTAGAACGAAGGTTATATCATTTTTCATAAAACAGTCCAGGATGGTCAACATTTCTAAAATGTATTAGAATACAAATACAAAATACTTTGACAAAATGTATTTACTTACAAATTCGATTGCACTTTCTAGAAAAGTATTGAAATACAAGATACAAATGAAAAGAGAGTATATGATTATCTTCAAAATGCTTTACCAAATACATTTTGTTCTCACAGACTGACATCTTAGACTTGATTTAACACAGGTAAAAAACGTGCCTAAATAATGATTGGAGTATATATATATATATATATATATATAGTAAAAATTACCTTGCGACTCTAAAAACAATATCTGCTCGTCATAACTTGATAGACCGGTACAACATCAGAAAGACAATGTATTCAACGGGAGATTAATTGTAAAGGCTGAGTCGATGTACAAACGCTTTTCTGAACAATACGTCGTTTATGCGAAGTGTTTTATAAATTTAATCACTGAAACAAAAAGTCAAAAATTTTAGGCATTCCGTTCACTTCCTGTTCTACACTTTTTTTTTCTTCAGTGTTTATTATATGCAAAGCGCAGCAAGTTTCACTCTCTTTGCACGTGAACATTAAAGAGTACCGACTTTTGCATTTGATCGCGAAGAACAGTGACCAAAATTGTGTTTGGGCAGTATTTGAAATACTAAATTTTCAGTGTTTAAAGATTGTTGACAAATACAGTCTCCAATATGTAATTAAACACGGAATACAAAATACCCAAAGTATTTTAAATACGTAAAATACTTGCATTTGAAATAGTGCACGTCCCTGAAGCATGCTATAGTCACTGAGAGCTTCAGAAGCTCAGGGTATGGCTTAGTATGGTAATACTTGTCTTGCTTCGTGATTGGTTCTTCGGCGTTCTTATTGGCTAATGCCGCCATCTCATTGGCCGAGGAGCGATAATATGTTCGGAACTTGCCACGCCCTTCGTTCCTTAAGATTGCACTTCAGCATAATTGGCCGTAAGGGTCGGCCATAGAATTTTGCACGTATTCTTCTCCTCGGTGTCGTGCTGGCTCATCATTCAATACTACTTGAGAAAACGTTGCGCCTTGCGAAGCTTTTACATATTCTTTTTTTTACAAGTGCTCGTTTAATAGGTCATTAACTTCGTGGCGGCTGTATAATGTTTACTTACGTATTCGTTCACGTGAGAATAGTAGTCAATGTAGCCGTTGTAGTACCCGTAGAACGTATCAAACCCCCGGTGCGTGGGCGTGTATTCCTTCTTGAAGTAGCCGAGATGCCACTGAAAAAAGGAAAACCAATAGAAGCAGTGATATGGCGTTTTAGCACAGAGTTATCGTAATACTGTTTATGTCACTTACTCAAGTGTTTTTTTGTAAAAGCTTGTTTTTGATGGCATATTTTTTTTGTGGGCTTTAGTCGATTAACATGCCCAGTTCTAGACGGGAAGGCATCCTAATAAAATTGAAGCAATGGAAATATACGTGCATTATTCTCTCGTATTTTTGGCTCATTCGGTCGTAGTGTCGATTTTTTAAAGTGAAACAAACTATTGTAATCGGACCTCTACTACTCTACGTTGAAGTTCGTCATTCGAAAAAGGTGTCCGGTTTTTGGTATTTATGCAGAATTCAATTGTAAATGTACGCCCAATTATTTCAGTGAAAAAAGATCGGTTTAAAAAACGAAGAGAACGAGTAAGAATGTTGTTAATCATTCCGCGTTTATAATATTTTTATGAATTACATAATTGTAAGCATTTCGCCAAAGTTTGTAGGAATGCATAAACTGACTATAATATAAATAAACAAAATAAATGCATAGCGTGACACCACTGACGAAGGTATGACACACTTCAGTGCTTTCGTTTATGCATAGCCTGTTAACCGACACGATGAACTTTCTAATGTCAAATACTTGAGCTGTGTTTTCGAGCATTAAACATCGCAACGTTGATCTATCAACGGTTCTGACGGTACTGGTGTCCTTGGGTGCAACACACTCGTGCACTTTTGTGCGTCCTGTTTCCGCAGAATTTCCGGACTCGGAGCCGCAGCACCGCGAAATAGACGCCGATGAATGCGTTGTTGTCCCGTTCCCCTTATTTCCGTCGTGTCCGGTTTTAACTGTGATAAACATCACTTTTCTGCTTTATGTTCTTAAAATTAGCGCCGACTGTTCTTTCCAAAACTAAAATCCAAAAACAAGACAATTCACATACAAGTAATATGACTGCGGAGATTACGCAGAAGTCGTGCTTTTTTTCCGCGGTTAAGGAAATAGCCTTGGAGCAACATTTGGCCGCCTCCAAGGCAAGGCTATTAGACAATTGCGTTTTGCTTTTCCGCTTGCAACGCGTTCTGCGGCGAACAATATGACGACGAACATTATGTAGCTGCGTGGGACAGATTACTTTTATCTTTCACTTATACCACATTACTAATTACCTTCCTCATAAGTAACGAGATCACTTGAATTAGATTCCAAATTTCTCAACACAAAGTGTAGTTTGCAATTACAATTGTAGCACTCTTAAATGTAATGCCGTTGCTCCAAAATTACTTCGTCATTAATTGCCTCAGGTAAGAGCATGGCAACAGGCTACAAGTACTCGAACATTTTTGCGTGAGTACCGTCCCCTAAATAACAACACAATCTAGGGTACTTTCTTTTTTACAGATTTTAACAAGCAGTACTTTCCGCAGTGACGGAAAAATACATTATGAAGCAACATACATAGACCTTTGCATCGCTTATCACCCGGGTGAAAAATGCTGAGTCACTGAGGTGTGGGCGCATGCGCAGGGTCTGATATACCGCTCAGCAGTGCAACAGAGCATGCTCAGAAGGCGTTCCACAGCACAGCAGACAAAGATGGCGGCGCACTGAAGGCAATTTTTGCAAAGGTCTTTAGGCTGGGGTGTCACCGATCGACCAGAGAAGATTACGATGGTGCACTAGTGATGCTGCTTAAGATTGTTTGCGCCACCCAAAAGCTGGCAAATCTTCGTCAGCCAACAAACATCAATTTTTGTCATGGTAGTGAGACCAAGCCCTTCTTGAGAGAGCAGGATGTTGCAGATGCAGGTTCAGGCACATACCTTCCCTACTAGATGAGTCGAGTAGCCAAGGTCCTTGAGGTGTTCCGGCATTAACTTTAACTCAAGCGGCAGTCCCCAGGGCTCCGGACTCCTGATGACCCAATGCTGCATGCCTTTCGAGTTCGACGCCACAAAAGTATATTGTAAGCCAGTATCGTGTTTAGACTCTGGAAACTTGTTTGGTCTATTTGGTTTTAGTTGGAACTTTGGTAAAGTGGTAGTGGCGGTAACGCATCGTTGAGAGAGGGTACTGGGTTAGCTCTGCTGAATAATGGCGTCCAAATATGATCATAAAAATGTATTATAGCAAAAGCTAGTTCTATAGTAAGTCATTGGGGGGTCACTGGAGTGTTTTTTCTAATTTTTATGCTAACTTATTTTCGCCTTTTGCATCTTTGTTCCGCCTTTTATGACTGGATTTTACAAGGTCGTAGATTACGTGTAAATAATGTTTCAAAAAACAACAGAAGATGCTGGTTTCGAACACCTGATCTGCGATGGTGCAAGCCAAACTTGGTAAAGGGGCAATGCAACAATTTTTGTACTTTGCGTAAATACCGCTTAGAACGAATCACTGACAATAATGACATGTGAAGCACCCGTTCGTTTTTCACCACGCAATCGAAGTCGCTGAAAAAATTAAACAAAAATGAGCAGCGTTTACCCCCTAACTCGCAGCCAGAACAAGTCGCCACGTGATCTGGAGCCGATTATATGCCGCCAATGTTGATCATACGCTGAGCTGATTTCCTAGATCGCAATGATTGGCTCTTTGAGTGTTTTGCGGGCAAGTAGACGCGCAGGCCTTTCTTAGAGTGTAGCCACGCGCCGGGGTTGACAAGGCACAGGACACGCGCTGAGTTCCAGTCATTGTTGTGGTTCGGTTATTGTCGTCATTGCAGCGACTGGACACAAGCCACTAACCGAATGCTTCTCTAGCTATCGATTATCACGAGCCCGAATCGAGTGCCCATGCAATGCTCGGGTCCAATCTATGAGCCGCATTGAAATATCGTCACTGTGAGATACTGCGAGCGCGCAGCTACGTCAAGTTTTGCGAAGTAGAGATCGAATGAAAACGCTCGCTTTTGCCCCTGAATTTGCACCGCAACAAGCGAGTTTCTTGGCCAGTGGCGTTGAGTGCGAGTATATTTGGGTCCCACTAGTACAAGTAAGCTCGTGTGAAGTGAAAAAACATTCCAGTTGAACATCGTTGCACCGCCCCTTTAATTGTCCATGTGAAGGCTACCCTTTGGAGCCGTTCAGGCAAAGCCGAGGCACTCGCTAGTCTTGAAGCCATGACAATCTTCAAAATGAGGCCCCAACTGATTGCCAGTTATATGAATTGCCGTCTAGCAAGACGGCAATTCATATAACCCTCTGCTACTAGAATGGCGACAAACCTGCCTTCAAACACAGAATAGACAAATTTATAAGAGATTCTCACCCGTGCGTATAGGGTACAGACCCGTCATGAGGGCCGCTCTCGAAGGCGTACACATGGGCTGTACGTAGTAGTTGTGAAGCGTGATGCCGTCGGCAGCAAGGACGTCTATGTTCGGTGTGGGGATCTGAGACGAACCGTGGAAACTCACGTCGTCCCATCCCTGAGAGTGATGCAGAAAGTTGGTTACTATACGTTGACTTAGATTTATGTCTGTCAATAGATGTCCCCGTTGGGGCACATATTGACAGACCGACTTTGAAGATTCAACGTTCAGGTTGATCTGAGGTTCGACATGAAATGGCTCCTTATCACCCTCTCCAGTCGTGATATAATGCCTATAGTCAGTTCATCGTTAAGCTGAGGGTGCCGTGGAAATTACGTGCTAGACGGACCAATCGATCACCTTCGTTTGATCACGTGATCCCGCTCTTTGTGTATCCGGTAGATTGATCACGAGGCGAAATACAGATGCATTACTGGTCCAACGAGCAGAGAGCTTCCACCGTATTGTCAGTCTGGGAATGACTAGACAATAAAACCGGGCCTCCAACTGTTTTTAGACGAAATCACCCCCCCCCCCCTCTCTCGTCCCCTCTGTATTGGAGTTTTGCTGGAACAAGCATCACGACACGTCATAGAAGCCGCCTGACGAAGACACGTGTCGTTGTGATCCTGTTGATTGGTGAAACGACAGGCCAAGAAGACAAGCGGAAGCAGGCGTCGCATTTGTCGCGGTGTCCCAACACGTGACTGCTGGAGTTGCCCTCAAGTGGACGGCTGAACAGGCGTCAATTATATCCACCTCTGTTGCTGGGCCCATTAACAGCATTGCGCTGATCTCCAACTTTACACAGTGCTGACGTCAAAACACGGAAGACGTTTGGACAAAAAGAAAGAAAAAAAGCACAGGACGTGGCTACCACACCATTCAAGGCGTGTTCCAGTAGCCATAGTTGTCCATCTAGTCTATATTCTTTCAGTGTCCTCACAATTTTGTCTCAATATTTATAACAAAAACGAGCGATATCACCAACTGGAGAATGTTTTTTTCCTCCCTTCTTCAGTTCCTTCTTAACCTTTACAAAAGATATAATTCAGAGTGTTAGGTGCGGAATAGACATTGTCAGTTATTCAGTATCTCCCTTAGTTTTGACACAAAATACTAATAGCAGACGATGAACGCTAACACATGAACAAGAAACTCCTACTGTACTGCAATCCGTTGCAGCTTAAGAAGGTAGGACGAGGGAGAGGAAGACCGGGGAGGGGGAAGCAGACGGAACGCTAGAGAGAGGAGGAGGTTTCTCTTTCTCCTCTATAGCGTTCCGTCTGCTTCCTCCTCCCCGGCCTTCCTCTCCCTCGCCCTACCTTTTTGAGTTGCAACAAACCGTTATAGAAGCATACAGAAAACAAGAAAACACGATCGTTAATATAATAATAGTGACAAAGAATCAGTCATTGTTAGCGCCATTAAAGCGTAATTTCCTTCAAAGGCAGCAAGGACAACACAACGTACCAGGTCATCCGCCAAGATGAAGACAATGTGAGGAGGCATTTTCTTGGCTAAGGCGACCGTCGCCAAAAAGACCAGAGAGCAAGCCTTCATCCTGCGAAAGAAAGCATCCCCTTTTATAAAGCGCCACTCCCTTTTGCGGACGCTAAAGTATTCAAGGCCTGAAACATGATGTCCAATCCACCATTTAAGGTCGAATTGATGGACGCTTTCAAGCAGCTGTCCATGGACACCGCAATAACCGACCTTCATTTTTTGTTGCCTCTTATATTGCTTATTTCACTTCATCGTTACTATACCAAGCCAAGTCATTGCTATTTTATATTCTATCATTTTGTTCTTCTCCCCAGAGGCTCGCCAAGGCCTGCTTCAGTGGCTCAGTATTTCGGTAAATCAAGCGAAGGTCAGCAATGGTGGCTGTAATGGCGGCTGGTCAGCAATGGCGGCTGGCTCGTGTTTAAAGCGTCTATAGCTCTTCTCGCTCGGAAATTTGTTGATAAGTCAACTACACTGCCGACACAGCTAGTGGCGAGCACGACACCGGCACATTCTCGAATTCTACTCAAACAAAATGCTGATGAGCACAAAATCTCTTTGCCCAGATTGGCGCAACGAATGAGCTCTTTATACTACACTAGTGGCTTTGATTAAAGTATTTAAATCTAAATGCAAATAAAAAAATCTTTCGACTGCTTGTTCGTGCTAACTCCTGCACATTGTTAAAGGTCGACAACCTGCGCTTTTGTTTTTGCAGTCATGGTAGTCATGACTGTATATGCGACAGCCCTGGACACTGCCCGAGACGATATTCAGTAAACTGCACAAATGAGCAATCTTTCAAGAGTGTCACAAAAATCTCTAACTTCCGCGCCACAAAAAGGCAACGTTTATTTTCACTACAATCTGTAAAAGTATTGTTCACATGTGAATGAAAACACAACCCAATATGTTATTATTTCCTGCCTGCTCCGCTCCATTTATAAGCCAATTTCCGGAAAATTAACTTCTTTTTGTCGATGTGGTGCTGCTGCCAGTTAACGGATGTTACCATGGTGATAGTGAACCTGCATGGGGCATATGTCTTGGACCTGCTGTCGGCCGCTGGGAGAAGTGAGCATTTGTTACAAGTCTTTTCTAGTCCACCATCGCTTTCGACTTAGTAGTTGTAGCATGAAGACACGTTATTTTACGCCAGAAAAACAGGGTGGGGGGGGGGGGGGAATGGAAGGAGGCGTGTTGACGGCTACGAGGCCTTGGCACCTTGGCGTATTGCGTATAGACATTTAACACACAAAGGAAAAGTTGGATGCCACCTTTGGGTCCACTCATGTACAAAGTTTAAGAGCGAACGCAAGTTGCCGGCCTGGATGTCTGGTGCACAGGGCGAGAAGACCCAGTTCTCCAGGCAGGCTATCCGTGACCTTAGTGCGAGCGTCTCTTACAAGACAACAGCAAGGTGCTCGAGGTTGGCTGTCTCGTCTTCCCTGCAGTAGTTGCATCTTGCAGACTGGACGCACGACTGAGTTAGATCGTTTGCTCGCTTCGCGCACCGGGAGTTGGCCTAACAGCCCTCACTAACTTGGTCATCTGCATCGTCGTCCGCCGTTGACCGGGTCGAGCTTGCTGATCTCATTTTCCAGAGTAAGAGAGCTAAGCTTTGAATACTCCTGAAGTAAAATTAGCATCAAAATACACTTTCTATAACAGTTTGAAATTACCGCTTGCTGGCCCAATGAAAAAAAAAAACAAAACAAAAAAACAACGTAACCCTCTTCACGCACCAGCACTACTTCAAGACCCTCAGAAGCTGGCCTGGCTGAAACGGTATCAATTGTAAAAATTCACAGTTCATTTTCAAACGTGGAAGCACATGGACGCACCGTTTGATTAACCTGAACTGGAGGAGGTCCATACTCACAATCTCCTAGAGCCGGCGAAATAACTTAGACAGTTTTAGTACACTTGTGCACCAAGGTTGTATAAGGGTTCTTCGAACTCTTCACTACATCATGGGAAATGTATCACGCATACTCGAAGTGACCGAAAACATTGTGCATCATACCCGTATTTATAAAAAAACTGAAATCGCATCTTGTATCTGGTATCGTTTCGTCCAACCGCGTTGTCTTCTTGTGTCGGCCAAGTTACAGGAAGAATGATGCACAAACGAGTGATTGAGTGTGACCCTGAACAAAACAGGATACGCATTTTGTCGTGGTGGGTTTCAGTGACCGACGGTATCCCTTAATAATATTCTTGTTCTTACAACTAAAACATTTTGGCGGACGACCACAGCCGTAGACATTGATATTAAGGGTGTGTGTGACTCACGAGGCAGTAGGACAGTTCTCTACACGTTACACTATACACCGGTGTACAAGTACATTCCTTCGCGCAAATTTTTAACTGCACGCCCAACAGCGTGTATTGTTTCTGGTAGTGTGGAGCCGGGAGATACTTACTCCTGGGCTTTCGAGGATCGCCCTCCTAAGACTTGCGAGCAAACTTGACGAAATGCAAAATTTCGGCGTTACTCTATACGCGGACAATATCGGAATATGGAGGTCATCACTCGCGCTAAAACTTAACAGAGTCAGCTTACAGAGAACTATCGCGACCACTTCATCTCCTAAAGATTTCCCTCCGATTAAAAAAATGCTTTGTAAACTCCTAATTTCACCAAAAACAAAAACAAAAACAAAAAAAAAAACGTGATTATTCTTTTTGACTGCTTAATAAAAACGCAACGAGCGCCGAGCTTTCAGGATCCAATTGTCGGTTCGGAGCCAATGCGATTTCCGCTCCAACCGATAACGACGCCGAAGGACGAATCATAAAGCCGGAAGCGTGAACACGAAAAGCCACGCCTTGCGTTTCTAAAGCTGGCAGCACCTACGCGTATATATTTGATATTAAAACGCCACTGCGATGCTGCAGAGAGCGGAAATTCTCTAGCGTTGTACTACAAATTTCTACTCATCCCGTCGCGTAATGCAATCAAAGCACTGACTTTGCAGCCAAGGTTGCTCGAGTTTTCTTTTAATATCGGTTTGCTACTTTTGTTTTTACAGTTTTCAAGGCAACAAAGAGTTACGTGACTAAGGACGTTATTACATACCCCGTGGACACCTTCGTACTGCATCGTTAGAAACACGTGCTCCGCGTATGTCTAATGCAGAATGTGCATGCCTGCAGTCTGTACGCCACTCTCTCACGTCGCACCACTGCGGTGCCGCTCTTGTCGGCTCTGCGCATGCGCAAATCTCCGACCCATCTGGTTTCTGCGGAAGCGCAGTGCCAACACTTGGTGTGGCCAAGCCCGCGCTCGCCCACACCAGGTATGGTGCCCACATCAGGGTTTTCAAATACAGGTTTAGAAACACCTGTGTTTGGTGCGTTGCCTAGGTCACGTGCCTGTTCGCAACACTTTGCAACCTGGGAGGGTTGCAAGGGAAAGAAAGAGGCCAGAAAACAGCGCTCCGCTTGCTTTAGTCTTCGTTATTTCTTTCCTGCTACAGGGGAGGAGGAAAGAAAAAGGAAAAGCGTGAAACATACGTTGACGTTCAAAGCCCTCCACAAGTCACGTATCACAAATGCGGACAATTTCGACGTCTGACTGCAAGATTCCTCTTCGATAAAAAAAAATACAGAAACGAGAAAGCTCTTCCTCACTTACCGTACAATCTTTGCGGATTGCGTTATCCGCAAAGTTGTAACGGAATTTTTTCTCCCTCGCGCAGAATCTGGAGTAGGCGATTGCTTCCTTTATTCTTCTGACTCGTGCCTATCTTGCGCCTGTTATTTATATATATGCTTAAATTTTGTTGTACAACGTCACAATGTCGCGTCAATCTATACCCACGGCACGTGCGCAGCCTAAGGCTCATTTTTTTACTCGTGTACTCTCACGGAGATATTTATACAAATATTCATCCCGAAACATCAGCTACAGGTACAAGTTTTGAATGCATAAGATTACATTTCATTAACCCGCCAGGGCGAAAAACGAACAATGATCGAACCGTTAATAAGCAAGCGCTTGCACTGTCGAACTTATTTTCCCTTATAAAAGCTGTTTCTATTTTCTACTTGGCTCAGTTAAGGGATTACTGACAAAACTAGTGACTTGACTTTCTTAGAAAACTGACGCACGGAAAACAAACTAGTGAAAAAGGATTTGGAGCTCATAATCAGACTTTTTGCGCACAATAAACGTCCATCAAGTACTGGCAGCTCGTGGTTGCCTGCCCGCTTCTTTTTGCATGGGCCACGTGCAGTGGCGTCAGAAGCCCCTCTTCGGTAATAACAATAGGAGAACCTACCGAATGAAATTTTTATAATCATTGAAACACCGAAAATGTGCAATTTGAAAGAAAAAAAAACTCGAACTCGTTGACGCGGAAATAAAACGATTCATGCAAACATTCCGGCGTCTATGATATCACACTTTTATCCTTATTCATGATCTGGTTTTTGATTTGAGAATATTTGTGGCTCTGAAATTGGGGATCGGGAGATGTTCTGTTCAAAGCAATTCTCGGTTCCTTGCCACGTGCTGAAAATGAACTGCGTCGATAGCCGAGACGCTGCACACTGCTCTATAGGCACAGATACACTGCCGCGTTTCAATTCGCCCGACATTGGTCTCGCTAAATTCGGCGGACGGTACTTAGCCGACACTTTCTTGTCACAATGACGCCACGACATGACGTGAACGCGGTGGCGTCAAGTGGCACAACGACGTCGCGTGAATCTGAATTTCGGCTAAAGTCGGCGGAAAAGTTTTGCCCCAAAATCTAGCGCAGAACTTGCGGCATCTTGCGAAATGACGGCCATGTCATTCTGACGTCCCAATGTTGGCACTCTCTGATCCTCGGCTAAATTTAGTGGAAAAAAGTTTTCTCTAAATTTAGCGGAAAAAATTTTCCCGCTAGATTTAATGGGCAACTATGTATGCACACACAAGGTATTTGCTGTGAAACCTTCGCAAAAACAGCTATTCTGGTAAAGATTAAAAAAAAAATAAAAATTCGGGTCAGCACCAATTATGTTGCTGTCCAATTAAGAGATTAGATGCGGACATAGTTTACCCG